CACACACACACACACACTCATCAAGTGTGCATGGAAGTGTGGGGGTGTGAGTGAATATTACAAGTCAGCAATTTTGAGGTGTGAAAATTGCTCTTGCTCTCCAGGATATTTTTAATTTCCTATTAAACATCATTACACTCGCATGATTACGCATGAAAACCACACCCCTGCAAATACACACCACACACACACACTCACATATACAGGCACCTTCCATCTCTCTGTCAAAGGCAAACTTACCAAGTTCACACTGCGTGACTGCCCATGTGATGCTCATCCTTGTCCTCCATTTCATTAGACAGGGGCCCGAGTGAGCTATTCTGGGAGAGAACGGTAACTCTTTGTTGGTTGCTCAGCTGAAAAGACGTCTCCAATAGCAACTGAGACCTATGGCCTCCCCCCCTGTGGCGTCCAGCTCTCATACTTGTGGCTGTGAGTGTCCATGTCTGTCTGACTCTGTGTGTGTGTGTTTGCATGGGGTTCAACCTTCTGTGTGTGCAGCCCTTTAGTGTGTACCTGTGTTTTGCATGTGTGTTTGTGTGTGCACAGACGAAACAGGATGTGATCTATCACTCACAGATCTATAACAGTGGCACACAGCGAGGGATGAACACGTTAGTGTCAGTTGCAGACGTTGGAGACGAGCAGAGGAGAGGAGTGATGTGACTGTTATTGATCCTGCCTGGTAATTACAGCGCGATTTATTACCAGACAGAGAGGGACGGGGAGACAGAGAGAGAAGGTATCATATTTAGTTTGGGGTTGTAAGTCAGGTTTTTGGCGAGAGTGAACAAGGTCAGAGGGAGACAGAGATAGATCACTTTACCCCTCCCTCCCTTGAGTGCCATGCGATCTGATCACTGTTGTGCTTTCTGACATCCTCCTCCGTCCTTTTCTCTCTCCACTCATTCCTATTTTTTTTAAATTCTCATGTGACCATATGATGCTGTGAACACTTCTGTTCAACACAAGCAGACTCATGTTTGCTTTCTTTGACACTCATGCATACATTTAGCCTTTCCATGCATGGGGCCTTTTTGCCTCTCAGAAGCATCACTTGTAATCAGTGCTGAGACAGAAGTGTTGATATGATATGAAATGAAGGTGCACTCAGTCACTCTAACAACAAGCCTGACAGTGTCTGCGGCTTGTAAAAGTGTGGGAGTGCTGGGTTGTTTACAGAGATGTGTGGGCGTTAAGCATGATCTTGTGGGTATGTGTGTGCATTTATGTGTGTTTCTGTTTGTGCTGAGAGAATATTGTTCCTGAATATGTCAAAAACTATGTTCTTATTGGCGAACCACATCCTGTCTTTCAATGAGTCACACAGAAAAACACACATATACCAAAACACACTACTATGATCTTACTTGCGTATGTTTGGTTGAACTGTAGGTATGTGGTAATTCTTTTATTCTGACCACTAACTGTTTTATAAATATTTCTTGCATAAATACTGTTCATCTCTTTGATATTGTCCCGACTAAAATCCCTACATACTGATTTGTTTTATTACTTTGCTTTCATCATTGGACAAAAGCACATGATGCATGAAAGTGAGAAATTTCAGTGACAATAAAAAATATATTGAAATTGTTTCTATTGCAGTTCTACTTAATTATAAACAGGAACACATGCATATGGATACTAAAATATAAGCACAAAGACAAGACATACAACATTAATAACTCACGGATGGAAAACTAAACACAAAGTGTGCAAAATAATTTGTTTCTGATTTTTATATATGAATTTTCAGGGTCCATTTTCACTTTAAATGCTTTTATCTTTGTTTTTTCAAAGCAATGCAGCCTGCTACAGGAGTATCATGTTATACTGAGGGATGGATTAGATTAAAATTAGAAGTTTATCTGGGACTGTTAAATAAAGAATACATTTGATATTATTCAGAGGAGAATATGGTTTGCTGGTGTATGTTGCTATGGTAATCCTGCTACTGGCAGCATTCCAGTCATAGATTGATTTGGGTCTGGTTATCCTATACACTAGAACCCAAAATGGAGGAAGAAAATATATATTTATTTGTGTGTGTGTGTTGCGCATGTGCGTCTTTGACTTATCAATCTGTAAGCGCTATATTGATTGGCCAAAAGATATTCCCTTTTAATGTGCTTGGGGATGAGGAGTGGGAGGGAGGCGGTGGGTGTGTGTGTGTG